CATTCTGACATTGACACGTATCGTGTTGTGATTGGCATCTGATGTCGACACATGTCGCGTTATGATTGGCCTCTGATGTTGACATGTGTCGTGTTGTGATTGGCCTCCTGGTTGGAGGGAGACTCTTGTGGGTCCTTGGCGGTATAATGTTGACCGATGCTTAGTAGTTTCGCGGTTGGTCAAGTATGGTATAAACAGTGCTCCCCTAAGTTCCCGAGTGAGGGAAGCTTCTCGGTTGGGGACTTGCAAGATCCAAGCCATTGAGTAATCACGAAATTTCTAAGTACTGAAGTATGGTATCGTTTTTACTTGCCTTATCTGTCTCATAGGTAGATGTGACATCTTCTCTTGAAGTACTTTTCCTCCATCCAGGAATGGTATCTCTAACCGGTGGAGATGCACAAGGTAATGTATCAATTTCACTTGAAGCTTACTTGTAGTTTCGGGCTTGGTTAAGCGCAATACAAACCCTATAGTGGAAGTCCCTCAAGTCTCTGAGTGAGAAGGTCTGCCGAAGAAGGTAACAGACAAGGTAAGCAATTAGACTTCCAAGCAAGCAACCTGGATCGGAGGTTCGACTTCGGCATCCGCTTGATTGTTCTCCTTCTCTTTGTGTCGTAAACAACAACAAGGATAAGGAGAAGCAAATGGGGAAGAAATGATATGAGATACTTTTGCTTTTGAAGAAGCAACTTTCCATAGGCTTATTCTTGAACTGGGCTTGAGGGTTTTCTGGTTTCCTCCAGAGTATAAGGCCGATTCAAGAATTTAAGGGTCAAAATAAGTCCCTCAAATCTAGAGTACGTTCGACCCTAATGATATGGGATACTTTTGTTGTTGACAAAGTAGTAGGTGTGGTATGGCGAGGCTTTGCTCTTTGGTGATGGTGTCAGCGAAAGGTTGTTGAAGCTTCTCGAGTTCTTCGGTAGGGCAGCGATGCTGGGTTTGGATTTAATTTAGACTCATCTGTCTGGGTTGTAGGGTTCTGCAGGAAGGGCATTGTTCTGTAGTGATCTGTTCCAACTCATCATTGATCCTTCTGCTTCAATCTTTTACAACATTTGTCCCTGATGCAGGAGTGGAATGCAACATTTGCATTTAAATGGTTATTCAGAGCACTACTTCTCAGCGACTCATCCATGCGTGGCAGCTTCAGTGTAAAGCGTCAATATCATATCAACTGTTCTGAGGTATTTGCCGAAGGACTTTATGACCTTAACAACAGTTGAGGATGAGTACTCGAGAGCAATGTTAGGCAAACAACCATGCAAAGATTTCGGGCAATCAGTTCCATATCGAAAGTTTGATTTCAGGTTTCGACTGATTGCATTTTTTCTCCTTGTCCTACAGGTAAGAGCAAGGGCAAAGGAAAAGACAGGGAAAAATCATGATATGGGATACTTTCTCTTTTAACCCTGATGATATGAGATACTCTTGCTCTGGTGTAGCTTGTTTACATAGGTATTATCGGGAGGGGGGGAGGGAAGAAGCTAAGTATTTCAAGAGACTCTGCTGGGAATGCCTTCTCGGACGTGAATAAAAGTTGAGCATTTTTTTTTTATTTGTAGGTATGCCTGGTTGTGGAGGATGAAGGTCGACATATAGGAATTGTTTCAACAACGGGTAGTAATGCTGTTCCTCTACCCTTCTCGATCATAACAATGTAGTCGGAGCTGTAACATTCACGTGTTTTAACTTTGTCAGAGCACTTTGAAAAAGTGGTTTGTGGTATCTGGAAAGCTGATGTTGCGTGTGAAGATTGCATACAAGCTTTATTCAAGGAAATCTGGCTCTCAAAGTTTAGAAAGCGATGCCTCTTCGATTTTCGAACAAGCAATCCTGTTGGGGATTTGGCTATCAAGATTCGGAGAGCGTTGCCTCTTCGATTTTTGAGAAAGCAATCCTGGTAGGAGTTTGGCTCTCGAGATTCGGAGAGTGGTGCCTCTTCGATTTTGAGAAAGCAATCCTGGTAGGAGTCTGGCTCTCGAGATTCGGAGAGCGGTGTCTCTTCGGTTTTTGAGAAAGCGATCCTGGTGGGAGTCTGGCTCTCGAGATTCAAAGAGTGGTGCCTCTTCAATTTTTGAGCAAGTAATCCTGTTAGGAGTGTTTTCTTGATATGAGTAAAGGTTAGGCATTTTTGCCAGTTCTGCCTTGCCACGGAGCACAAAAGCTGACACACATAAGGACTTTCCAGATACCAAGCAGTGGTGTTGTTCCTTTACCCTTGTGGGTAATGGTAGGGTAGCTGAACTTTCAAAATTTATGTGTCTAAATTTTGTCAGAGATCTTTGGCAAAGTTATTTGTGGTGCCCGATGAACTGATGTTGCGTGTGGGGATTGTCGACATATTTTACTCAGGAAAATCTACTTCTCGAAATCCAGAGAGTGGTGCCTCTTCGATTTTTGAACCAACGACCCTATTGCCATTTCTTTTATAGGGGCACCAATTATGTGCAAGAAGTACGTTCAGAGAGTTATTGCTTGCAGGAATTTTCCCCTTATTTTTGTACTTCAGAGATTTATTGCACCTCATTTCTTCTTCATAATTTATGAGAATGTCTGGCCAATCATACCGTTGTTTTGACTTGAACTTTGGTGAAGAGGCAGCCATGCATTCTCAAGACAACATATGGCACCCATCCTTCTTATCCCCTATTGGTCCTCTTACCGTTGGAGACTATGTGATGAAGAATGATATGACCACTGCGGTGGTGGCCATGAACCTTCTCACTCCTAAAGATAACAGACTACTTTCCAAACGGTCTGATGAGTTGGCTGTTAAGGATTCTCTGGCTCTCAGTGTTCAGTGTGCAGGTTTTGTGTCTAATATGGCTCAACGCCTATTTGCTCGAACTCGCCAAGTTGAATCATTGGTGGTTGAAGTGATAAGTCTTAAACATGAGATCAGAGGGCTCAAGCATGAGAATAAACAGCTGCACAGGCTTGCACATGACTATGCTACAAACATGAAGAGGAAGCTCGACCAGCTGCAGGAATCTGATGGTCAGATTTTACTTGATCATTAGAGGTTTGTGGGTTTGTTCCAAAGACATTTATTTCCTTCGTCTTCTGGGGCTGTACCGCGTACTGGAAGCTCTAAATGATCAACCTTTTGTGCCTTCTTCTTCTGGGGTTCTGCCCAGTACTGAGGCTCCGAATGATTACCCTCCGGTGCCTCCTCTTCCTGGGGCTCTGCCGACTGTTGAGACTTCTCCTGAGCAACCTTTGTGAATGCTCCTTCTTGTTTGTTTATTTTGATTCATGTACATGTACATATTTGTAACTTATCAGAGATATTAATAAATAATATTTACTTCATTTCAACGTATTGTGTTAAATATACCAAGGTTTCCTTCACTAAGTTGTTTGAATTTTTTTTCTTTTGTTGAAGCTTGTATTTTGAAGCTTTGTGAGTGAAGCATGTAGGTTGAGGTAATGCTCCCTTAATTTCCCGAGTAAGGAAAACTTCTCGGTTGGAGACTTGAAAAATCCAAGTCACTAAGTGGTCGTGAGACTTCCGAGTATCAAGGTGCAGTAGCATATGGTAAGATTCCCCCAAGTCTTCGGTCGAGGGAGTTGACGAATGAGGTGTCTTGCTAGTAGCCAAGTTTCCAATGTAACAAAACTTCACCATTTTCCTTTCTAAGTGGTAGCCCAAAACTCATCCTTCATATACCTGCATTGAATAATGATTTTTGTTCCTTGGTATGTATAAGGAACAACTCAAGGAGGTCGGGGGACCTTCAATACCCAATTGGAAGGAACATCGTTGTTCCTTTGATGCTTCTGGGAAATGCATTATTGAAAATTCTAGTGCATTTTCAAAGCATGTAGCGGCAGAAGTTAGAGATTGTAGAAATATGCCATTAATGCTTGATTACAAAAAAAGCCAAGTCCAAATATCATTGAAAAAAATATAATTGTCATGCATGTCGGATTACAAAAAAAGCCAAGTCTATCAAAAACTATATTTATTCATAGGTGCTGCACATCAGCTGTGCTTGACCAAAAGTTAAAAGCAACAACATGCTTGAATAATGGTACAACTATCTACAGAAAAGTATACCCCTGTCTCCCATCTTGGAAGGATTTGATTTGTCATGAATCCACTGTACGAGCCTAAGAGAGGACTAATCACTAGTCTTTTGCATGAATTTGGATGCATGTGTGGAACAAAATAATAATAATAATAAAATAAATAAAGATGCATAAAGCTGCACATCAAAACTAAAGGGATAAAAAAATCCCACCATTTTGTACGAAGATATCAGGCAAGCTTCCAAAGCAAAGAGTTTCCACCAAAAGACACCTACAACAAATCAAGAATAAAAAATATACATCGAATGAAGTTGCGGAATGAGCATTCAAAATACAAGCAGAATGAAAAAGTATGAAGCCTTACTAACCGTTCTGTTCTTCTCTCCAAAAAAATAACGAATAGTAAAAGATTGCACGGAGAAGCTCGTGGGGAAAAACTGATCAAAAGAAGTTCAAAAAGGGTTTGGAACTTATCTAAAACCACTAAAATGGGGGAATTCGAATTCTTTTCTCTGTTAGCCACCTAGCATGAGATAAACCCCTAAATAAAAAAATAATAAAATAAAATAAAATAAAGAGAAGTTTGCAACCAACAAACTTCTGAAAAGAAAAGATGCTGCCCACGTAAAGAGTTTAGACTTGGAAATCCAAGTTATACAAGGCATGCATATAATGTCCCCCATCAAATTAAATTCTTTTGCAAACAATTTGCCATGCCAAGACGAGACGACTTCACTTTCGGTCAGAGAGAAGTAACGTGGAACAAGGACTTCCTATTTTTTTTGCAAAACGTGGATGGTTTCCTGCAAGACGTGGGAGGTTACACGGTTAGTGGGAGAAGGTGGCGAAAGTTATGGCCTCTATCTCCCCCAAGTAAAAGCTCATGAGGCTTCCTATGATGCCTATAAATAGGCATCAGTCGCAGTAGAAGAGGGAAAAAAACAAAAGAAAAAGGAGGATGAGATTCTGCAGAAATTAAAAGAGAAATCAAAGGAGTGAAGTGTTGCGGAAGTTCAAGGAGACATTGAGAGAAGAAGACAACGAAGAAAAAAATAGAGAAACGGAACAAAGAAAGCAACAAGCATTCAAAGCACTCAAAGGTATAAAATCATTTGTTTTTTTTTCTGTTATTTTTCTTGGTTGTTCCTCTCCACTTTGCAGAAAAAGGGGAAGCATTGTGCTTCTTCAAATCTCTCCCATTCCCTGAAGCACAAATAGAGGTAGGGGTTCTAAAGAAAGCTAGCCCAAATCCTTTCCTAATCTCCCGCTCTCCTGCAAGAGATTGCCGAACACCATCGCTTCAACAACACCAACGGTCGTAGCAGCCATGCCGTCCTCCAGCCTAGCGTTACAACGTGCTCCATTTTTCTCACCGACGGCGTAAAAAAAAAGGTCATAAACAAAGTCCTCCGCCGTGAGAACAACAGCCACGAGAGCTGCCGAAGTTGAAACAGTTGTTGCTGCCCTGTTTTAGGAGCTCAGTTCGAAGTTAAAATGGTTACTGCTGTAGTGGCGGATCCAGGAAATAATGTTAGGGGGTCAATAAGGATAGCGCGCAGCGCGCAATTTTTTTTTAATAGAAACGGCATGCATATCGTCATTTCATCGAGTCTTGGTAGGATAGCGCAACCAGCTACTCCAAAATCCTTGTTCAAAGGTCCTGAACGTTCAAACCTGGAGGAAGAGATTGCTTCAACTTGTCGGCCTTCTCGAAATCAAACACACAAAGTGTGTAAAGGTACTTGGAGCACCGAACCTTGAACTTGACAGCATCCTTGGTCCTCTTGATTTTGACATTGCGGGCATCATTCCTTTTTGCAGTTAGAAGGAAATCCTTGATCTCATGGATCTGCTTCGGCATTTTGCTTGTTGCTTGGTCAAGACCGAAGGCTGCGAGTTCTCTTTCAAAGTTTGAGGAGGCTATCAACGCGCCAGCAGCCTCCTTCTTCTTTAACCTGCAAGCGAACTCTTTCTTCTTCTTTCAGACATTTCGTCGACCACGTGGTGTGCAGCTCCAAGAGGTCGCACCAGCAGCTCCAAGGTTATTTTCATGGCTTCCAAGGGGTCGTGTGACCCCATTGACCCCACTGTGGATCCACCCCTCATGCTGCTCCGTTTTAGGAGCTTAGTTAGAAGAATTTGGCGGTTGCTGCTGCTCCGTTTTAGGAGCTCATTTCAAAGGATTTAGCATACTGCTTCATTTTAGAAGCTCATTTGGAAAATTCGAATGCTGCTCCATTTTAAGAGCTCATTGGGAAACTTCAAATCAAAAGCAGAGGAATACGACTCGAAGAATTTGGCACAAAGTTAGAAGAAAGTCACACCAAAAAAAGAGAATGATGCTTCCAGCCAAAAGAAAAACAACAAAGAAACCGTCGCAGCCGTCGAGTGAAGAAGAAAAAAAAGGTTGCTGACGAAAGAAGAAGAAGAAGAATTGCACTAAAGCCTTGCACCAGAAACAAGAAAGAAAGATCTCCAGGTCAGTCGACGGGTCGTGGTCGTCTCCAAAAGCCCCTGGTGTTCTTCCTAGAAATGGAACGCGAAGAAAGCATAACGGAATGGGCGATGGTTGTCACTAACCAAGTTTCATCCAAATTCTTAAAAATAATCTTTAGCAAGAAAGAAGGATTCGTGACTTTAATTGAAGATTAGTTTGCCCCTGCGAAGACAAATCCATGCAGGATGCAGTAAAACTCAAAAAAAGGGGAAAAAGTACTTGTTTTTTTTAAAAAAAAAAAATAGCTTAGTGCATGGCACCTCAAAAATAAACAAGCAACGGCAGTTAAAAAAAAGCTTAGTGCATGGCACCTTATACCTCAAAAATAAACAAGCAACGGCAGTTAAAAAAAGCTTAGTGCATGGCACCTCAAAAATAAACAAGCAACCACAGATGAATATATGTCATTATCTTCAGTCTTCAGTGTACCGTTTATTTGAAATAAGAGTTAAAACTCTCAAAAAAGAGCAGGCTCAAGATCCCTCAGAAGTGTTCAACCAACCAAAAATAAAAGGCTGTCTAAATGCCTTTTTAGTCCATAAGGTATGAATCCCACCTTCTACTCAAGGAAAGGACAAAGTCCTATTTACTTTGTACTGCGCATCCCACGTGGGTTACTACTTGAAGAAAAAAGTGAAGTCCCATTTCACAAAGATCTATTGGATATTACCAAAGGTCATGTATGGGTTTCAAACAAATCCAATTGACTACTCATTTTGCCAAGACTGAACACAATTAGGCAAATCCAAATAAAAAATTACGAACTATGCCGGTTTGATTCCCTTAAGGATACGTAGGCAGTCTGATATTAAATTTTAGACGCAACCAAGAAATCAAGGCGAATCCCTGGTTTATTTAAACTAAATTCACTTCTGCTGCTTTGAACAGAACCCTTGTAGGATAAATCCCGTGAAGGAACAGAGGAAATATTTTTTTATTCCAAGCATGATTCTCTACAAATTTGTTGGAAGAAAGAAGTTGCAAAGGAAAAGTAAAATTAAACATGGAGTAAGAAATGGTACCAAGCTAGAGTCAAATGCCAAAATATTAGTGGGTTTATTAGAAATAAATCCGTTAATTTTACTCTACAGTTAAACGGCACAAAACCACTTTAAATAGGACAAAGCTGTCTCAAATGGCTAAAAGCCGATTCAATGGCATGAAGCCGTATTAAAATCTGATGGCACGAAGCTGCGACAAAACCCAATGGCCCGAAGTCGTATCAAATATCAAATGGCATGAAGCCACAACAAAATCTCAAGTGGCATGAAGCTATGTTAACTGGCACAAAGCCGTATCAAATTTCAGAATGGCATAAAACCATATCAAACTTATAAATCACTCCAATGGGTTAAAGTCCTCACCTGCAGGAGTTTAAAATGCACAAGGCATCAATCACTCCAATGGCTTAAAGTCCTTGCCTGTACGAGTTTAAACTGCACAAGGCACAAGTTTAAACTGCACAATGCATCAATCGCTCCAATGGCTTAAAGTCCTCGCCTGCAAGAGCCTAAACTGCACAAGGCATTAAACGCTTCAATGGCGCAAAGTCCTCACCCGCATGAGCTAAAACTGTACAAGGCATCAAATCCAAACAAGTATCAATCATACAAGGAACTACGAGTGACTTGATCCCTCAACAAGGGTACGTAAGCAATCTAGGGTTCTACCTAGATGCAGTCACAAAATCAAATAAACACCCAAATCCTCAAGTTACGATTTATTCATATTAGAATCAAAGGGTATTCCTTTCCCAAAAGAAAGGTTGTAATTAATAGGCGTGTAGCCTAGAATGGGTCGAATTCAAACTAATAAAACCCTCTTCGAAAAAATGAATGAGGGTGAGATTGTGTCGGGGGAATATTTTGTTTACATATTATGTACAATTTTTGCTCAACAACTAGTGATTGGTGAGTGATTGGCGTAAGATCAAAGAAGATGGCAGGGAAGCTTTTTGGAAAAGAATAAAGGTATAAATTTTTTTTGTTACTTGAAGAGTGTAAAATAAGTCAATATTTATAGTAATTGTTAATTTGTTTGAATTTTATGATGAGTGTAGGAAACTATTATTTTTTAAGAAGAAGATATTCCAAAAATGCCAATGATCCGTCATATGACACTTCATATTGCAGAGCATGCACATAAAGAATATAGAAATAAATTAAAAAAAAAATTTATACTGATAAACCAGTTGAGGAGCAACGGAAGACTCCTTCTAATGTGGATCCACAACAATGGGTTGAATTGGTGACACATTGGAATAAGGAAAAAACAAAGGTAAATGTTTTAAAATTTTTTTTCAAGAGATTGCTTCAAAGAATTTGGTGGCACAAAAATTTGTTTAATAAATTTGTTTTTTTTCTTCAGGAGATTGCCTAAAAAAATAAGCATAATCGACGACTGAAAACAATGAATCACACAACGGGTGCAAAATCTTATGCAAGAATACGGGCAGACCTTGTAAGGTTTGTACATTTCGAAGAATTATAGATAATTTTAAATTTAGTATATAATTGGTAGAAATTTATTTTTAATTTGATGGTTGCTGAAAATTGGTTTTTTTTTTTATTGACTTGTAATTATAGCGGAAAAAGCATGGGAGGGAGGTGGATCCTGTTTCGTTTTTTCGTTACTGTCATACTCGAAAGGATAACTCTTGGATTGATAAAACATTTGAGTTTACTGGGGTAATTGTTTTTTTTTTTTTTTGTGGCAGTATATTATTGTTATTATCTGTAGTTGAATTTTTATTTTTAAAATTTTAATGCAAGGCAACTATGGAGGAGCATATTCAAACTATGATTGAGTCTGGGCAAGAGAATAATGATGTCCTTAAGACCCGGGTTTATGTAGAGACTATGGGTTTTGATCGTCACAATAGAGTACGAGGGTATGGACATGGTGTGACTCCGGATATGGTGTCGTATGCATCTTATTCAGCTTCTAGTTCTAATTCTTCTAGAAGATCATCCAGGAGTTCAGTGGTAGTGTTGTTGATTGAGAATAATGAATTGAGAAGGAAGGAAGAAGTTAATGCTAAACGAGTGGCAAAGCTAGAGCTTAAGATTGAAGAAACACGCAGCCAGCAACTAGTAAACAATCAGTTGTTTGTGGCGTTTTTGCAAAATTTCAGCCGCCACCACCCTATAGCCTGGGAACCCATCAGTCAGGCCAAAGTCAGCCTCCTCCATATTCATGCCCACAATGAACCTAACAGTTAGCTCAAAGTCAGCCTCTTGTTGCACCTGTATATCCGTATACATGCTATTATCAGCAACCTCCTTCACATTCGATGTATCTGACATAGCCCATGCCATATATGCAGTAGCCACCCATGCCATACATGCAGCAGCCACCCATGCCATACATGCAGCAGCCGCCATATGAAATGCCTGCATATCGACTTAAGATGCCTTTTTCTGATGATGTTCCAATTGGAGGGTTTTCTGGAATGCTCGCATGTGCTCCTTTAGATGTTGGCATGGGGAGGGTTTTTGGATCATAAGGAGGATCTGAAGAAGGATCCAGGCAAGGAACTGGGTCACATTCGGGCTCTGCTTCTGCTGAGTAGTTTATGTGATTCGCTTTCTTGTCGAATATGTATGACAATTGTGCTAGCATTTGTAGTTTTTTTTTTTTTTTTTGTATGTTGAATTTGTAATGTCAGATTTATTGTTTGTTATGACGGATAAGTTTTTGTACGTTATGTGCAATATAAAATATTTTTTATAGTTTTGGTTAATCGTAGCCTTGATTTATAAATGAAATATAGTTGAAATTATTTTCTTATAGTTTGGTGTATTTGTTAATAACTGAAAATTGAGGGAGAGCGGTAATTTTTATTATTTTTAATATATGTGGGTGGTGTCGCTTTATGGACGACAGTACCTAGAGTATTTTATTTATTTACCTTACATAATGTCGGTTTAGACCGACACTAAGTGTGATTTTTAATTATTTATTTATTAGGTAATGTCGGTTTTAACCGACATAATGTTCCATGTTAATGTCGCTTTTAGCGACGCTGCAGTTTATTTTAATTTTATATTACCTGTCTTCTTGGTGGCGGAATAAGGGGGTCTAAGCGACGTCATTACCCTTTTGTGACGGTAGTATTGGTGTCGGTTTCTATATCCAACATTGCACGATTTAATGTCGGATTTTTGCCATATATCCGACATTAACTGGTGTTTCTTGTCAGTTTTAAAGCACCAGTGATGTCCCCTTTTGCAGTAGTGATCGTGCAGTCATAAATCATTGTAAATTTTTTTATTTAAAATTGAATATAAATAGGATCTAACGAAAACTGACCGCACGATGACTGAACGTGATTGGAGAATCCCCAAGATCCTCACAAAGAGGATCCGGAGAGGATCTGGAGAGGATCCTCATTCTTTTATAATAGTCCTACCAAACAAGAATTCAAAGTTTAAGACTAGAAAATTGTTTTTGAGTTTAAAAAGTTGAATTTAAGTTAAATATCAAACAGCCCTAAGTTTTTTTCATAACACCTTTAGATTCAATTTACATCTTTCCATATAGACATATAGAGGATCCCCATTTTTTTTTTAATAGGGATTAGTTGTGGGGCCATCACCACATTGAATTTCAATAATTTGAGCTGTCTATTTTTCAAGTTGCACTTCTTACATCATTCTTGCAAAATATTAACCAAATCGGAAATATTTGAAACATCTAATTGGGTTCACTGAAATTAATGAACACTTTATTCTATAAGAAACAATGAAATTTCAAAGAGATCCTCTCCTGATCTCTCCCACCAAATCCTAGGTATCCAAAGATCTGGGTCCTTGAAATTTGATCCAACGGTTACAAACAGGGGGTCTCTTTAAAAGTTATAATAATTGTAGCCGTTGGATCAAATTTCAAGGGTCCGGATCTCTGGATCCCTAAGATTTGGAGGGAGAGATCATGAGGGATTTCTTCCCAGCTTTTCATTTTTTTGGTCTGAGTACGAGTGAGAGCTTTAGAGAGGAGAAGAAATCTTTTAGTGTTCCTGGAACACGGACACATACGCTATATATTATTATACAATTGGAGAGATACTTGAAAAATAAAATATCTCCACTTATATAATGGCATATGACATACTATCTCGTACTCAAGGCACATTGAAAAATCTCTTGGAGAGGTCATCAATGTAGTCAGTAGGTTCATTCAATAAAATATTTAATATAATTAGGTAGCTAATTACATCG